AGAGAGAGAGAGAGAGAGAGAGAGAGAGAGAGAGAGAGAGCGATGGTAATGGTGAGCGAGATTAACAAGAGATTTTCTTCCCTTCTCCTTTCCTGAACAACGAACGCGAGAGAGAGAGAGAGAGAGAGATGAGATGAGATCAAACTGTGTCTGTGCGATTTATTCTGCGAGGGAGAAAGAGAGACATCTTACGTATATACCTAGGGTTTTAAAATCTTGTTCTCCAAGATAGAGGAAACGGGTCGCGGTTCACCGGTGCACGGGTTCGGTTCTCTACTCGGTTCGATAATTAAACGGCTTGGGTCGATAATTAAATTAACTAGATATAATATATTTATTTATTAATAAATAGAAAATTAAAATAATTAGACATAAAATATAAATAATAATAATAACCCAATAATAAATAAATAATCCCAAAAATCGAACGGGTTAAATCCGAATTACGCGATTAAATAGGAATCATCGAACGACGAACGTTTTTCAGTAAAAACTATCGAGTACTCCAACCTTTTATTTAAGTCGACATCGCGACTAATAAAATAAATATAACTTTATAAATAATATTCGATAAATAATATATTCCGAGAAATTCTATAAATCGAACGGGGCGCTACAGTTCATATCCACTTTCCTTATCTCCATGTCTCATCCTCTCTAAGATCTCATTTCATGATAGACTTCTTTCCGTCTGAGCTTCTCCCTACACTACAACACAAACAATTACTTACTTCATCATCTAATAAAAATAAGGGAAAAGAACCTTCGAGAATGAAAGAAACATGTCTTTGACATCTAAGACTTGGTCATATAAATTTAAGGCGGATACAAAGGTTAGTGGCAGACGGACCCTTGGGCTCGTTAGAAGTCGAGGCCTTACCAACCTTCAAGTCCTGCCTAGAAGGGGAAATGACTAAGATGTTTTTTAAGGTAAAGGGGCATAAAACCAAAGACTTGTTAGAACTCGTTCACTCTGATGTATGTCGTCCTATGTCACTCCAAGCGAGAGAAGGATTCGAGTACTTCGTCATACTTATCGATGATTACTCGAGATACGGGTACGTTTACCTATTGTGCTGCAAGTCTGAATGCTTCGAGAAATTCTTGGAGTATAAAGCAGTTGCAGTGAAGCAACTCGGTAAAAGTATTTAGTCATTACAATCAAATCGTGTAAATATCTTGTTAATTGATTAGGGTTTATTATTGGATTTTAATTAGACTACTTAATTTAGGAAATAAATAAATTAGGATTAAATTCTAAATTAATAACATTATTCAATCTTAAATAAATAAATAAAAATCGAGCTATCCTTTTATTAGAAAAAACGGGTAGCTACAACCTGCCCTCCTGAAACGATTTTCGTGCTAGAAAATACAAGACAATGTTCAAAAGATAAAACTTAGATTCTTTGAACGAAGCTCTTCTTTTTTCCGAGTAGCATCACTCTTTCTATGGTGACTCCACTGGACTTTGCCGAGAGTTACCTTTCGATTCCTCGACTAATGTGCTTTCTGGCCTAAGTTGGTCGTAGGCACCTCCTCATACGCTAGGTTCTGCCCGACGTGCGACTTATCGAAGTTCACCACATGCTCGGGATCAAGCACATACTTCCTCAACATCGAGATGTGAAAACATTAAGAACTCCTGGGAGCACGATGGTAAAGTCAAACGGTAGACTAGGTCACCGTCTCAACTAAAAGTTGAAAGGGCCGATGAGTCTAAGCTGCAATTTTTTCTTTGTCTCGAATCAAATCACACCCCTCACGGATGGTTTGATAAGAAAGTTATCTGTTTGACGCTATAAAATTGTAAGTCATCCACCACTATAAAATTTTTGTACATTTCACAACAAGGTTTACTTATATTGTTTTAAAAATGCTTTTGCATTTCAAATTACTTCATAATAGTTTTCGAAATAGAGCTATTTGCTCCAAAACATAAATTGAAGATTATCAGTTTGGTCTCCCTTTTGTATATAGTTATAGGTCTCATTTAATCTTTAGATATAGCATAACAAACTACACTGATTTCAAAGGTGCATTGTACAATTTTTTTTAAATTTTTTTTTTTTTCACTTGTCACATTCATGTACAATCCAAACTACACAAATGACAAAAACCCCACCACACCAAACCTTTGCATATACCGACTGTGGCCATCACCAGTCCAATGCAACTTCCCCTTTCTTCTGTTACTTTCTTTCTCTTGCACAACCTTTTAAATATAAACCACCACAGAATCTTGCATACAAACTCTAAATTTAACTTCTTCATACCTGCCTTGAACAAGTACACGACACTGTCTCCTAGACTCTTACACGACCCGTCGTGTCACGTACGCACACATATATAGAGATTAAATATAAATATCAAGCACAACGAGCCCTCATTTTGGGCCCCCCGTCTTCATACCTCAGCCGAGTTTGCAAGTCTAAACCATGTCCTCTCACCCAAACCTGCGACCCCGGCTCCACAGTGTTCAACAGCGCACATTCATCCTCGATTTTCCTCAATCCTCCAATTTGGGCCACCTCAAACCTGTCCATCATACAGTACGTGTCCCTCAAAGCACACTGCGCAACCATTCTAAGATCACCAATTGTGATCCAGGGCTCGACTACCACAACCTCACCGGGCGACAAAGGCCGAGTCAACTCAGTCTCCATCTCGTCGAAATCAGGCAAAACCTTGCACATCAACATCATTGACTGGTTCCCTACCCCACCTCTCATCGGCCAATCTTTCATAAAGACTGCATTGCAGGATAAAAACGGCTGATTCTCGAAATATCCTTGTATAACATTCTCATAAATAAAACGCACGTCTCGAGCGATGTCCGGGCTGCCCATCAGCCCTCGGTCAGATATCTCGTGTATTGCAAACTCGGTCAATCTAGAAAAAGGATTCATTAATCGACGAATGACGAGATTACCAACTCTGAAAGATTTAATTGATTTGAGCACAAAGTCGATCAAGCCAGTGTCGCCAATGGTTTTTCTGGCCTCATCTCTAAGTTCTTGCCGGGAAATGCCACACAGCTCGGTACCTGCACTGTTGGCCGTGTGACACTTCAGAAGGTCAATAATCACAAAGAGCACATGCTCCAGCCTCTTGGCCGACCAACGGCAATCTGTCATCATCGAGTTCAAAAACGTCTTGAATCCCATTACTGGGCTCTGGTCTCCGGTTCCCGAATTACACGTGTTGTAAATATGTCTCGATTGAGAAGCCAACATGAACTTTAACAGGTCACTCATGGTAGCCAGTGGTTTTTCGCTCGATTTTCTGTAACAATTGATCATTTCTGGAATCCTTTGGGCATTTCTCTTCTTCTTGGAGTCGATAATTATTTTGTCGAGGCTTAATGAGCCCAGAAACCGAACTGCACTAATGTATTTGTGCTCTGCAGATTCTTGCCAACCGTCACCAAATCTGTAGCCCCATTTCTCGAACCAGGACTTCCCATATGCTGCACCGTGGATCAAATTTCGGTCAATTGCTTCCTTTCTGGTGGTATTGTGAGCCGAGATACTCCTAAAACCAAAAAAAAAAAAAAAAGAAAAAATATCATACTATAAATCAGAGACTGGAAAGTTGAGTTCATGCATTAACCAGTTGAGAACATCATTGATGAAGAACAAACCAACCTGACTTTGAGAACCGAGCACAGACGATCCCAGAGCACCATACAATCATCTGCAGTGGAGAATTTCGAGTTTGTTTTAAGAGCATTGATGCCGAGAAGATGCCCGTATCCATTACAGTGGATTAAACCATATAACTTATGATTATGAACTTCCCCAAAATCCTCATCCAGTGGCAAATTCCAGTTCTGTTTTGCAGGAATTATGAAATGGTACCTTCTTTTGCATACAAAATGGTGACCCCATCCTGGGAATGAGAAGGGAGAAATCTAATCAACCAAAAAGGACTAAGAACTGAAGTTCCACAACACGTAGAGAAGCAATTTGCACAAGCATCAACATTGATAATGAAGACAACAAGAAATCATAACAAACTGCAAATCTTCGAGGGAATCAGAGACAAGAAAAACAGAAATACACTGTATAAAAGGGAAAATTCGAATTCCACCCAGCACGAAGTAACCATAAAATTCGGCAAACAAGGATTCGAAAAACCATGTGAGCACACACCTGATGATTCGCAGTGTTTGCAGAAAGGATCGAGAGAGTCCTCAACGGTTTCCTCGATAACATAGAGAGGCAGAACACCGTCGGCCTCAGAGACGAGTGCAGCAAACCACACGGTCATATCGCAAACTGTGTAGTCTTCGATTTCCCCGAAACTCTGAAGAAAACTGCGAATGTTGTCTCTAAAAGCGCCGGAGTTGTTGGCCCCTGAAACCGCGGAATTTCCGAAATCGAAGAGTCTCGCCGAATTGATCCTGTTCTTCCTCTTCTTGCTAGGCCCGTGAAACACAATCGACGCCATTAATGGAGCAAACTCTTCGCAGAAAATACAAACTCCGTTAACTTTGATTCTTTCTGTCTCCCAAATTTCGAATTTTTCGTGTGTGTGTGTGTGTGTGTGTGTGCAAGTTTTTTTTGACGAGTTTGATTGTGAAGAAAGAGAGAGCCTTGGCGCTTGAATTCTTGATGTTGAGAAGTTTACGAAACTGCCCCCGTAGGGATGGGAAGAGATGCTGGGGGTATGAGTTTTTATGTAAGGGCATTTCAGTCATGAGGTGCGATGTGGTAACTAAATTGCGTGGGGGCATCTGTTGTGGGTTTCACGTGAGCGAACCAACTTAGGGTTCCTCTGCGGTTTCATTCAGTTTGTTAAATATAATAATAAATTTGACGATTTTATTTTATTTTTAATTTTTATTTATTTATGAAGGGGACAGATTAAAATCTATTGTTGCATATCCATAGCAACACGATCAACCTTGACGGGGTTTGCTAAAAATCGGATTAACAAATCTTTATTGGTGATTCATATTATCAAAGAGAATTTTTAAAAATAAATATCAACCAACGTATCATGAGTTTTCGTTTGGAACAACTTGGAGCTAAAGATTTCCTAATTCATGATACTAAATATTGTGAGCTTTCTATGACATGAATTACATAATAATTCAAATTGTTATAAGAATATGGTAATTTGTTCAAAATGTCATCAAGCTCCGTTATCCATAGTATGGGTGTTCACCGTCAGAATTTGGTTCGGTTTTAGTCAAACCATGACCAAATTGGACATAATGATTAATTTTTTTTCTTAGTCATAACCAGACCAGTTTTATTTTTTAACCGGCCACAATCCGGACCGCATTGGATGGTCCGGTTAGCGGTTAACCGGTTAAATTCAAAATCCTTATTTTGAGCCTTCAATTTTTATTTTTGTTTTTTCATTTTGGGCTTAATTTCTATTTTTCAATTTTGGGCCAAAAGAAATTATTTGGGCCTGAAAATTAAGAAAAACAACAATAATGAAATATAAAAAATAAACAATTCGTCCCATAAACATAAAATACATATTTTGTCCCAAAAAAATAGGAAAAGAATGTGGGAAAATCTGAAAATGAAAAAACGAAGGTGGGAAAAAGTGAAAAGTTATAGTATCTTACAAAATTAAGTCAATAAAAGGCCAAAAGTGAAAGTGAATGTATTATATTTGTCGGCCATAGTGAATGACTGAGTGTATATATATTTTTTATAGTTTTTTAATATTTATCGGTCTGGTCCGGTTAAACCGGCGGTTTGCCGCATGTAATCCGTTAACCGGACCGGTTATTCCAGATTTTTAAAAAAATTAATCACCGAATTTTTTAAGATTTTTTTAACCGGCCATTTAACCAATTCGCGGTCCGGGTTGACGGTTTTTCAGTTAAAACCGGACCGTGAACACCCCTAATCCATAACGATCGAAATTCACAGAAAAAATTAGAGTCGACTGTACACGTCCGTTCGGAGCAGACCCTCCACCAGGCTCGTTCGGACCATCGCAGACCCCAACGACACCAACGCCTTGTCCTATGGGCTAAGAGAGCTTCATCGGCGGTCCTCGTCGTAGCAGCAGAGCTGAGCAACCCGTTGGAGGTCGGAACTGACCAAGAGGCTGTCTTTGCAGTCCAAGTGCAGCCAGATCCAGCGTCGATCACATCGGTGGGGCCTCCCAGAAGCGTTGTCGAGCGGGGAGAGCCACAACTCATCATGTTGTCTAAGGAGGAGCTCAGGAAAATGATCGAAGACGTCGTTGCAGTTGGAGCAGCCAAGCAGTTTACTTAACAAGCATGTCATGCGACTAAGGCTGCCAACGAGCCGAGTCGAATCGAGCATTGGCCTTATCGATCAAAATTAATTGTTTTTAGCTGCTCGAGCTCGACTAGATAAAAAATTATAATAGCTCGAGCTCGACTCGAAAATTTTTAAATGAAAAAGTAAAATTACAATTAAGCACCTATGCTAATATATAAGGGGTATTTTGGTAACTTCACATACATCTCGAGCCGCTCGACAATGCAAAATATAGGCTTGAGCTCGACTCGAGTTCGGTCAAACTCGAGCACGAGTCGAGCTTTGACTCGAATGCTCGCAAGCCGCTTGGTTCATTTGCAGCACTACATGTGACCACTATAGTAACTATTCCAACGGGCAAGACCAGGCGGGAGACGATGGTGGAAAAGTCGAGTAGTCATGCCACTAGAGTGTACAGCGATTGAGCTCTAGAAAGGATGGAAAAACTACTTCGATAGCTGCAAATGAAGGTCGAGTGGAAGTCGATTGGTCGAGCCCGAGGGCATCCCTTTGCCCGAGATATTCTGGAGGCCATTCTACCAAGAAACTTCATATAGGTTAGTCTTACTTATGACGGGTCATCTGACCAGTCTAGGCATTTGAGGTGTTTCGAGAACATGTCTGTACTTCATGGGTGTTCAAATGTTGTAAATTGTCGAGCTCTTCTGGCTACCTTGAGGGGAGGAACTCAAAATTGGTTTCATCAACTCCTCCCAGGGTCAGTGAGGGATTTTGAGAGCTCATTTTTAAATCAATATACTAGCGCTATAGCTCTAGATAAAAAAAACTTACGTAACTATGATGACACTGGCAAGAGGAGGGTGAGTCTCTACAAAATTATGTTGCTAGATATAATAAAGTTTGCATTAAGATCACGTTAGCCTCTGATGAGGTCAAGGCGTGAGGTCAGATAAGGAGTCTACGGTCTGGCCCATGTTGAAGCTTTCTCACTAAGACACCGGCCAGGAATTATGACGAGGTCCTAAAGAGATGTAAGAGTATGTGAACATGGAGGATATAGAGGAACAGTTTGTGAGGCTCGAGCATATTATTAAAAAAAAAAAGGGCGAGCTCGCCCAGAAGAAAGAGATCGAAGAAAAGAATAGAGGATCGGTTGCAGGGTCGACCTGTAAAAGATGGTCAGAGATATGATAAGTACACACAATTGAGGGCTCACACGGAAGAGATGCTCGAAACGTTGAAAAAAAAAATGCATGGGAGGATGGTGACCTGGCCGCAGTCGAGAACAGATGGCCCAACCCAGCCTATGTCAGGTCTCTACTGCAGGTTTCATCGGGATTATGGTCATACCATAGATAAGTGCAAACACCTGAAGGACGAGAGTGAGGCTGATCAGGGCGGGTCTCTTCAAGGAATTCATATATAAGGATCGAGAAATGAAAGAAATGAGAGGATGTTGAGAAGATCGAGACTAAAGAAAAGATCAAGATGATCGAGGTGATCGAGATGACAAGGGTGGTTGAGGTCACGGAGAAAAAAGGTAGAGAGAAAAGGAAGATCATACATTCAAGGAGGACCAGGCCCCACCGAAGAGAAGGGTCATTCATATGATATCAGGAGTTCCCACTGATGGGGACTCGAACAATGCTAGAAATGAGCATGCTCGGTGATATGGGATATTATATTCTAGACCGGTTTGTGGGGCTAGCCGGAGAAAATAAGACTGGTTTGTCGGGTTAGCTAAATAAGACGGGTCAAATGGTATGGTCGAACTGGACCAGGCACCTGCAACAAAGGACAGAGAGCAGACAGTAGAGACGAGTGAGTTCAGAAGTGATCGACAAGCACTGGCTACTCGAGGAGTTGGCCGAGGAAGGATGGTCGGATAGGGCGTGGTCGTACAGACTTGGTCGAGCAGCAGGACGCACAAGGGAATCTCCAGCACGTGAAAGGAGGACACGCGGCATCCTATGAGTGGCCCATGGCTATAACGAACTCTGATATTCTCTGACAAATTAGACGCGTTCTCTGACGTCAAGGATAGTAGAGGCGCGCGGTTGTACGGACGAGCAGAGGACGGTTGGCCAAACTCGCCCTACCCGCGCGTGTAGAACAGGTAGCTCGTTCCTATAAATAGGGACGAGAATCCTCACTTTTCAAGACGATTTTTCATACTCACATATTTACTCATACATTTTATCTCTCAAGATCTGACTTGAGCGTTGGAGGCTCTTCACCAAAAAACACCTCCGGTGTGGGAGTTTCGTGCAGGTTCCGTATTCAACCGGCGAGGAGAACGAGCTTGAGGCAATTTCCAGCCGGTTGGGGTGCGAGACTTGTATTATTGGCGCCGTCTGTGGGGACTTTCGTTCAAAAAGTTTTGTTCTGAGCTCAGCTATGGCGGATGGAGTTCCTCGAGTGAATTTACAGTCGCCGTTCGATGAAGCGTGGACGACGACAAGACCGATGGGAGCGGGACCCCCACCTGGTTTCTCCGGGCCATCACAAACACCGATGACCCAACGCCGATGCCTCAGAGTGCCGCGATTACAGGTGGAGGAGAAGGCACGATCAGAGAGCACGAAGCTCGTGAAGCAGCACCGACGGCGGCCCTCGCGCCGTTGCAAGCAGGCCCGGTTGTGGCGCAACAGGTTGGACCATTGGCGCAAACGATGGCGCCGCCAACAGGAGGAGCACTGCAACCCCCTGCTCAACAAATGGTGACCATGATGAGGGAAGAGATGCAGAGGATGATGGCCAACGCGATGGCGCAAGCTGTGCAACAGGTCACTCACCAGGCATCTTAGGCTGCTACCACACCGACCACGGTATAGGGGACACAAGAGGAGGACGTGTCGAGTTATGGCGGAGGAGGAGAGCCCAGAGATAAGGCGATGGAGAGGATGGCTGAGCAGCTCTGGCAGCTGCAGGAGAAGGTGGAGGGAAGGCCGGACAGGCGTGCTCGAGGACACCCGTTCTCGAGGGAAATTCTAGCTGCACCACTGCCCGCGAGTTTCCGGGAGATAAATCTGATTTTCGATGGGTCGAGCGACCCGTCGAGGCATGTGAGGGCATTTGAAAACATGTCCCTCTTGCACGGGTACTCAGATCCGGTCAGTTGCAGGGCTTTCCTGTCGACCTTACGAGGAGGCGCGCTCGACTGGTTCCACCAATTAGCTCCCGATTCGATCAGAGACTTTGAGGATTTTGTAGGACAACTTACCAATCAATATT